TGTAGACCAGGCTGGTCTCGAACTCACAGAGATCTGCCTGCGTCTGCCTCCCGAGTGCTGGGATTAAAGGAGTGCCTATTCTTTTACCACGAGTTTCTTTGTCTTAGAAGGGATATTGAAAATGAAAATGAAATGGTCTCTCTTGACTTGCCTTGTAGAATATTTAAAAAGGTAATTTAAGGCCAGGGATACAAATATTTAGAGGATGGAGACAGGAGGATCAGGAGTTCAATGCCACCCTTGGTTGCATATTGAGAGCAGTCTGGGCTATACTATACCTGTTTCAAAAAATAAAAAAAACTTGGCTTGCCATAGTGGTATTCACCTTTAATCCCAGCACTTGGGAAGCAGAAGCAGATAGATCTCTGAGTTCTTGGCCAACCTGGTCTACATAGTGAAACCATGTCACAAAATCAAAACCAACAGTAAAAAATAGTTATATGATTTAAAAAAAATATTTATTTGGCTGGGCAGTGGTGGCACATAGCTTTAATCCCAGCTCTCAGGAGGCAGAGGTAGGTGAATCTCTGTGAATTCAAGGCCAGCCTGGTCTACAGATAAAGTTCCAGGACAGGCTCCAAAATTACACAGAGAAACCCTGTCTTGAAAAACAAAACAAAATTTATTTGTGTGTATATATGTGTGCCTTTACAGGCTTATGTATACCACTTGCTACAGGTGATGACAGAGGTCAGAGGGCATCAGATCTTCTGGAACTGTAGTTTACAAGAGGTAGTAAACCACCTGTAGGGATCTGGGGCCCGATCCAGGTCCTCCGGGGGAAAAAGTGAGTTTTCTTAATTGATGAACCATCTCTCCAGCCTGTTATGTTTTCTTCCTTTTTTCAATTTTTAAAAACTTTTATGAGTATGCATGTTTGCCTATATGTAGGTCTGTGCAATTGTATGTCTAGTGGAGGTCATAAGAAGGTATCATACTACCTGGGACTGGAGTTATGAGCAGTTGTTAGCCACTATATGGGGTGCTGGGAACATGAATGTCAGTCCTCTGGGAGAGGAACCAGTGCTCCCTCTTGACTTCTGAACCATCTCTCCAACTCATACAAATCTATTTTAGTTACATTTTTATTTAGTGTATAGGGTAGCATGCCCATGGAAGCCAGAGGACAATGTTTTAGACTTGGTTCACTCTGTTCACTCTGTTGGTCCCCAGGATCAAACTCAGGTCCATTGAGCCATTTAGCCTGCCCTAGTTATGTGATCCCACATCCCCAAGATCACACACATAAGCATCTTCTCAGGACAGAGCTGTATCCTAAAGGTGCATGTCTATGAGCCTGTCCATTGTCAAGTTTCAAGGACCCTGACCAGGTGCCTGTCCCAGGCCTTTTGGAACAATAAAGGGACTGAATTTGAGGTTGTCTGGTGCATATCTCAAAGCCAAGATAGTCGGAAGATGGCGGATGTGCCAAGCAGGAGATAGGTAATAGGGTGACACATTTGGCAGTTGACACATGTTGATAGGAAGGTTGAATGATAAGGTAAATTTTAAGCGCTAAGGGACAAACATGCTGATGGGATGTTGCGTTAGGAACAAAAAAATACCAATCACAGGAACAGCTCATAATTGTATTTTCTAAGAAGTCAAACAACAGGTACACGTACAGGTGACACACACCTGTTCACGGTTTGAAAATAAACGAAAACTGACGGAAAGAAACGAAGGTAGGTTTCGGGTGTTGCCGGAAATGGCTGACTACAGCCCTCCGCTAAGCGCTAAGCGACGGAACGGGGGCGTGGCCCGTTTAGCACACGCGGAGACTCTTCGGGTGTTTCCGGAAACTACCGAATGCCAGCTCCAAGTGGGCGGAGAAAAGCCGGTAGGCGTGGCTGTTGGTTGGCTCTGGAGGTGCGGAGAGTCTCTTCGTGGATTTCCGTAAACAGAGCCGAAGCTTGATCTTCGGAATCGAGGAGGTGCGCGCGTCCCCGGGGATTACCTTCTTCGGTAGTTTCCGGAATTCACCCATAGTCTGGGCCGAGAGGAGAAGGCTCGTCCCCCTCCCGTTCCTAGTTGTTTCGGATGTTTCCGGCTCCTGCCTGTGGAAAGAGGGGAGAGCTG